CTAAAAAACTTAACACCAAAAAACAAACAACCCAATCAATAAATGGGCAGAACAGACACTTCTCAGAAGAAGATATACATTTGATCAACAAATATATGAAAAATGTTCAACATTTCTAGTAATTAGAGGAATGCAAATAAAAACTACTCTAAGACTTCATCTCACATCAGTCAGAATGGCAGCTATTATAAAGACAACAACGGTAAGTGTTGGCGCGGATGTGGGGAAAACGGCACACTCATTCATTGCTGGTGGGACTACAAATTGGTGCAACCAATTGGAAAGCAGTATGGAGATTCCTTAGAAAGCTTGGAATGGAACCACCATTTGACCCAGCTATCCCATTCCTCGGTCTATAACCAAAGGACTTAAAAACAGCATATTATAGTAATGCAGCCACATCAACGTTTATAGCAGATCAATTTACAGTAAACTGTGGAAGCAACCTAGATGCCCTTCAATAGATGAATGGATAAAGAAACTGGTATATATACACAATGGAATATTAATCAGCATTAAAATAGAATAAAATTATGGCATTAGCAGATAAATGGATGGAGTTGGAGGATATCATGCTAAGTGAAGTAAGCCAATCCCAAAAAACTAAAGGATGAATGTTCTCTCTGATAAGTGGATTCTGATCCATAATGGTGGGGAGGGTATGGAAAAAATGGAGAAACTTTCAGCAAAGGAGAGGAAAGAGTCGGGAGAGACATGGGGGCAGGAAAGATGGTGTAATGAGATGGACATCGTTACCCTAGTTATGTGTATGACTGCACATATGGTGCAATGCTACATTGTGCACAACCAGAGAAATGAAAAGTTGTGCTGCAATTGTATACCATGAATCAAAATGCATTCTTCTGTCATATATACCTAATTAAAATAATAGAATTAATTAATAATAAAAGAAGTGGTTGAAGTGTAAAAGTTGGGGCCTAGTTGAAAGGTGTGGATCTTTGGGGGAGGGCCCTTGGGGACTATGTTTTGCACCTAGCCCCTTCCTCCCTCTCTCTGTCTCTTTCCCTCTCTCTCCCCCCACCCCTCTCCCTTCCCTCTTCCTTCACTCTTTCTCCTCCCCTCTGCTTCCTGGCCACCATGAAATAAGTAACCTCTTCTGCCACATGTCCCCACCACCATGATGCTCTCCCTCACCTCAGGCCCAAATCAATGACGCCAGTGAACCGTGGCCTGAACTTATGAGCCCAGATAAATCTTTTTCTCTGCTGTTCTTCTCAGGAATTTTGTCTTAGCAATGACTGTCACAGCTGACTAATATAGTCAGAGTCACTGAATCGGTCCCCTTCCCATCTCTCTCTCTCTCATTTTTAAAATAGGTTAAAAAAAAAAAGAGTTTGCTGAATTCTCAAAAAGTGTGTACCTGTTGTTTCTCATGGGACAGATCTGGGTAACATGACCACCTCCTATTACAAGACATTGTTAACTGAGCACACTGGAATTCAGAGAAAGATAATCAGGGTCCAATTAGCCAGGAAGAAGAGAATAGCTACTCCATGGGCCATCAGCAAAGTCTAGTCACAGACTGCTTCCAAGTGTCACTCCATCTCCGACATTGCATGAAGAGCATTTTAAAACCCAGTGTAGTGGTCTCACCACCTTGGTCCCTAATGCACACAGTGCTTGGTCCTGGTGAGGATCCTCAAGTTAATCTCATTAACATGAGCTTGCTCACTCTAGTACCCCGTGGAGCACAGGGTGGGGTGCGGTGGGGGTGGGGGGGGCGTCTGCTTCAGCTTTCTGTTCTTACCCATGAAAAAGACAGGCAAAGGGAAGCAGAAGTCTAGGGAGCCAGGGAAACCACTTGGGGCTGCTTCTTCTCCAAGAGCCTGGCCAAGAGGTGAGGGAGCAGCTCAGCAGCCTTCATTGCTTATTTGTTTATTTATTTATTTGCAGGGAGCATCCTCAGTTTGACTTCTGCCCACAAGTCCTTCTTCCTGGAATGTCATCTGGATATGCCTCTGGGAAACTCTGCCTGCCTCCTTGGATGTAGGCTGGGTGGGAACTTCAAGAAGGAACATGGCATCCTGCAGGTGACACCACCTGCCCTGGCTTTTGGAGTGGCCCTCACCAGGACTTTCCAACCTTACTCTCCAGCAACTCCTTGCCCTCCCAATAAACACCTCCCTGATGAGAAGCCACAATGAATGCCCCTTTCTTGAAGGCTGACAGACACGTCTTTTAACTGCATTCATCCATCCTGTGGGGATTTGTGAGCGGGGAGGAGTTTGTGAGGTTCCAGAGCAATGGCTCTGGCCAGTGTGCTTGTCTGGCTTGTGCCTTTAATCCATGAAATGACCTTGAACAAACCCTTTCTCTTCCCTAGGCCTCAGTTTCTTCAGTGATAAAATGGTGGGTTGGACCAGACCCATCGTTGCTAACCATTCTCTGCAATACTTTGGGATTTCCCCAGGAAATCCTCAGGGGTCTACATCAGAACAGCCCATTATAATAACCTCTGAACCCCCAGCTCACTTTAATTAGAATAGTTCAACTTCCATCCAATTTACTTATCAAGCACGGATTTTTTTTTATTGGCTAAAAATAAATGTTTGAAGAATGCTGGACTTCACGATCTCCAAGAGCCCTTCTAGCTGTGGGGCTCTGTGATTCTAAGCAGGTTGAATACTTGGTAACATCTCTTCATTCATCAGCATAATTGGTGCAGGAATGTCTGCCAAAACAGACTCTATATCTAAATAAAATCTTCAGTGTGCAGAACAATGCAGCAAAGGACATTCAGAAAAGAGCAGGCTGTTTGGGACAACTGGAGACGAAACATGGCTTCGTGTGTCACAGTTCTGGCTGGGCCTGTGGTGTGGCGCTGGGAAGAGCCCCACCGCAGCCCTAGCTGGTCTCTGCTGTTATAAAGCAAAGCACGCAAGTGAACTGGATCCGAGCCCCATCCTTTTGTTGGGCACATGCAATGTTTTGAAAACTTTCAATTAGTTATCATTAATATTCATAAATTGCAAAATGCATTAAGAGATCCAGTTTCCTGGCTCGTTTTGAAAAACTGGGAGATGTGACAATAACTGGCTTATGTTCCAGTAGGACAGCCATCAGCTGAAAAGGGGTTTCCACTAGTGCAGGTCTGCTCTCTTGGCCCCAGGCCCCCAGCTTCTCCCCATGTGTGAGTCTGCACTTATACTAGACCTTTCCCCCTGATTGCACAGCAAAAGTAAGAGAAGCATAAATTATTTTGTATACTTCTGTCCTTAGTAGAGAAGCAAAAAAAAAAAAAAAAGTATACTGAGAAAGATGCTTTTCCAGAAAAACAAGGCAGAGATGGTAACCCCCTCTCCAGGGGACATTTGTCAACGTCTGGAGATGTTGGTCATCATAACTGGGGAAAGTGCTGCTGGCGCCTTAGAGGGCAGAGGCCAAGGAGGTGGCTCACTGCACTGCGATGCACAAGGCATCCAGAGAATCACCCTGCTGCAAACCTTGACAGCACTTACTTTGCAGAATTCCTGCGGGTTTCCTGCGGCCTGCCCCTTCATTTTCTGGCCTGGGTCCTGCCCTGCAGGCCTTAGTGAAACAGGCCAGGTTCGTGACGAAGTAGCTAGAACAGCAAAACTTGCTTCTGTCCTGATGTGGCCAGGGTGAGAATAGCGGTAACATCCAACAAGGGCGCGGTGGCCTCCGTGGCTTCATTTGCCCCAGGTTTTGCTTGTGTCCTCATAAGCCTCCAGTGAGAAGGTGCTATATCCCCTGCAAAAGCCTGAGGATGCTACATCCGACAGCTCGAGACCTCATAGCTTATACATGAAAGGGAAAGGCCCAGGCAGGGATGTGGCAGTCTGTTCTGGGCCTGGGCCCTCAGCTCTGCCCTGAACTTTATGAACCAACCCAAAGCCTTCCTGTCATCACTGCTCTCTGTGCTGGAGGCTGTTGCTACCAGCAACTACAGGACACAGGTTGATGATCTCTCCACTGTGCGGCTCTTCCCCGTCCACTCTCAGAAGATGCACCGTTCTAAAAAGAGCAAGCAATTGCTGTCCAGAAAATCTAACGTGGATTGGCAGCCTAGGACGTGTGGGGAAGCAGAAAGCAAAGTATAGGGTGGTAATAAAGAAGTGGGCACAGCCACTATAAATGCCTCCATTGAATAAGGTCAATAGCAAGTCCAGGACAGAGTAATTAAGCATCAGAGTGTCAAGGAGGAAGCCTCCAAATCAGAGATAGAAACTCTCATTCTCCACTGCTGTTCACCCACCCATCCATTCATCCATCCATCCAGCACATATTTACGAAGCAGGATTCAGGCTATGGGCAAAGTTGATGGGCCCTGTCCTCAATGAATGAAATCCATGCTATGAGACATCCACTGTTTAATCTCAAGCAGGCTCCCTCTTTGAGCTCCTGTCTGATAGAGAGAGGGGGAAAGTTTCTGTCTTGCAGGAGGTGATGGGAAGATTAAATAACATCACCTTAGCATGGGCCTCATTTAGACTTTCAAGGAATGTCTCCCTGGTTCTGTTCTACCTTCATGGCTATCACTCAGGTAATCACACATGATTTCTGCTCACTTGGGCGTGGAGCAACTTCTGGGGTCACCCATTGGCTCAGAAGACCCTCATATCCTCCCAAGAACCAATTCTCCCCCATGAGGTCAGAGGGTGTTTTGTGGACCACATCACAGAACAGGATGCAGGATGCAGACTAGCCCACCAATCGGCAATGAGCATTCCTGTGACGCACCACGATGTGAGTTCCCACAGAGAAGTCTTGGGCATTCCCCCCCCCCCTTATAATTTCCAATTTGACTTCATATCCCCTTGGGAGCATAGAGCACAAGAAGATCCACATCTGCTCGGGTGGTGGGATGGGAGATGGGCACCCTCCCTCCTTCTGAGCACAATTAGACATGCATTAAGGGCTGAGGGTATGCACGGTGATAAATTGGGATGCCAAGCTCTTCCCTGTGGCCAGAGAACAGATGGTCTTCAGGAAGGAGTTGGACGTGTGTGCCTACTCACCAAGCTTGTACCACATATCGCGGATGGAGAAGCCAATGAGCCGTCTCATGTCCCCATACCTAGGAGGAACAAAGATGTCCGCTTCAGGCCCCGTCTCAGAGCATCTGAGAGCCCCTCCCTCTTGAGGAAATCCAATAATGCAACTTACTTATTCAGGATTTTGTTGTACTTGGCGTGTGAGAACTGCTCCAGCTGCAGAGAATCCTGAGTGATAAAAGCTACCGCCAGATGAAAATAGTTGTTCCACAGCTGTAAATGAAAGAGAAGAAGAGTCATGGAGAGGGTGTAAAGTGGGAAGGCATATTAAATGCTGGGTGATGTGAATAATTTATGAAGATGGCAGAAGACACGGGCAGAAGCAGTTTAATTGTACGCGCTGCAATTTTCTAACTGGCACCGGCTCTGAAATTAACATGCTGGCCAAAACAAGGACAATGGATGGATTTCTCTAGGCACTGACCGTGTCCCCTCTCTGACAACAGGATTTGGGCAAGGATTATAGGGCTGGTGTTTTGTTGTGGTGCTTTTTGTTTGGTTTTTTTGAAAGACAAATAACTTGCCCCAACTGGGAGCCCTGCTGAGCTCTTTCCTGCTCTGAGGTGGGAGGATAAGGCAGTCCAGGACTCGCAGCTTCTGTGGAGGTCCCCTAGTCACCTGGCAGCTCAGAGGACCAGCCTGAGTCCATTCTGTCTCAAAGCACATTTTGCCTTTCCCTTCCCCTTTGTTCAGTGGTTTTCAGGTGTGGTGCACTGACCACCAATAGCACCTTGGTGCAGGTTAGACCTGCCTCGCCCAGACCTGCTGAATCACCTTCCTGGGGTGAGGCTTAGAAATCTGTATGTCAACGATCACGTGGGTGAGACTGGCTCACTCACCTGGAGCCCCCAGAGCTCAGTTCATATGTAGCCTTATCATAATTGTCACGTGCACACAACCTGCCAGTGAGGAATGTGAGAGGCTAATACTAGAGCCCACTGTCCTGCAGGAAAGAACTCAGCCCCTGGAAAGTGCTCAAAAAGATGAGCTACACAGTGGCAATATTGACACAGGCCACAGACCAGAGTGACATAAGCAAGGTGCCACTGAACCTCAGTCAACCTGTCTGGGGTGATTCTAATATCCACTGCAAGGGCTGCAGCAAAGATGGCCCGAGACGATGTGTCTAAAGGGCATGGATCCTCTGAAGGACCTGTCAGCCTTACGGCTGGTTCTCTTCATCATTTGAGTAGATCCTCTGGTACCAAAGTCAGCCGCTGAGCCTAACTACCTGGTGCTCAAGGGCAATTGCCACCCTGCAAGGAGCAGGTGGGGACAGCTGTGCTGAATAAAACTGACCACTTTCTGGCCCCTGTCCACACTACATAGAAAGAGAGCAGAAAAAAAAGCAGCTAGAGAAATCACCCTGCCATTGAGACTTTCATCTTGAACTCAGAGATGTTCATGGTAGGTTGCAGATGGCCAGGGGTAGGAAGGTAGGAAGATCCCCCTTGGAACGGTCACCTCTGCCATCTAGAAAATTGCTTTCTCATAGGTTGTGATTCCAGCTTCAGAAAGACGAAAACCAAGGGCCTGGTTTTTACCATGGGTCACAACTCCCTTATTTCAAAGCCATAAACACCAAGGACTAGATAAATTAAATGACCACCCAAGGTCATATTGGTAGTAGATATAATGAGAATTTAGTTATTTTTAATTAACTCTCAAAAAAGTCATAAAAGCAAATGTGCCCATGGTTTAAAAATTGAATGATAGAAAAGATTAAGTAATAGAAACTGATTTTTCAATCTGACCTTGAACCCTAATTCCTCAGAAGAAAATGGTTAACAATATTGGGAATCATTTTTCAAAAAAAAAATTTATGCATAAATATACGTATGGAGATTTTTTTTTCATAGCCTGCTGTACTTTGCTGTTTTCTTTTCCCAGTCTATCTTGCAAATATTTCCCTATTAGCACACACAGATCTGCTTCACTCTCTTTTATTGCTGCATAGTATTCTGCTGTAAGGATGTAATTTAATTTAACAAATTCCCTATTTATAGATATTTAGCTTGGTTCCAACTGTTTTTCCTCTAGTAACAGTGCTGTAATCAACCTCCTTGTTTGAACATCTTTATGCATGAGAAATTATATTTGTAGCATACATTCCTAGAGGTGGAATTGCCAAGCAACCGGGTGGAGGCAGATTTTGTTGTTGTTAGTTTGTTGTGTTTGTTGCTGGTTTTCTTAGATGTCAGGACAAATTCCCAGGCTCCAGTCCAATTACCAGCCCCATTATCATGGGCGTCTTAGCCTAGCTCTCCAGTCTCTGTCTCTTCATCTGGAAAATGAGCATAATACTGTCCACAGGGTGCAGTTGGAAGGGCTAAATGAGGAAATCCAGCTAGTAAACTCCTACTCAGTCTCACAATATCAGTTACTTCCTATGAAAACCTCCCTAGTTACCTGGAATGAAGTAGCTCCTCCTGCTCCTCACTGTTCTAACACCCTGTTCACAGCATTTAGGACATATTTTAAGCAAACTAATTTATTTTCTGTCTCCTCTACTGGACACAAGCAACCTGCAGGCAAAAACCTCATTTTTTAAAAAATTCACTCTCGTGCATAAATGTCTAGCTTTGGGTCTGACCCAGCATGTGCTCCTGAAGTATTTGTCGAACGAGTTAATTCATGAACTAAGTACTCTGTGTATATTCTTGTTAAATCCTCAGAAATTATGAAATTTGTATTTTCCTCACTTTAGACATCAGAGAATTGAGGCTCATAGAGGTTAAATAATGTGCTCCAAATAGGGAAAGTGGCATATGAATCCATATTTATCATACTCTGGGACTTTCTTTGAAAAACTTCAAAATTTAATCAACATGTAATGATTGTATGAATTTATGAGGTGAAACATGCAGTTTCCACATATGTATGTATTCCTTGGCTAATTATAAAATCAGGAACAATTAGCATACCCATCATCTTAAACAGCTATTTCATTTCTTTGTGGCAAAGCATTCAAAATACTCTTTACTAGGTATTTTGAAACATTGGTATTGACTATAGTCTTTCTACAGTGCAGAGTTACCAGAATTGACTTCTCTTACATCACTCTGTACCCACTGACCAAACTCTTCCCATCAAGCACGCCCACGCCCACCCTGCCCAGCCTCCTAACCCTCTCTGCTTCTACGAGATTAATGTTTTTAGATTCCACATAAAAATGAGTTCACACAGTATTTGTCCTTCTGTACCTGGCTTATTTCACTTAACACAATGTCTTCCAGGTCTATCCACATTATCACGAAAGTCAGGGTTTCATCTTTTTATGGCTGAATAGTAATGTGTGTGTRTRTGTRTRTGTGTGTRTATRTGTGTGTGTGTGTGTGTGTGTGTGAGAGAGAGAGAGAGAGAGAGTCACATTTTTCTTTATCCATTGATCTATTGATGTACACTCAAACTGTCACCCTATCTGGGCTGTTGTGAATGGTGCTCCAGTGAACATGGGCATGCAGGTATCTCTTCTACATACTGATTTTCCTTTTTTTGAATAGATTACCAATAGTGGGATGCAAGGTCATAACAGCAGTTCTATTATTTATTTATTTATTTATTTTTACAGAACTTCTATACTGTTTTCTGTAATGGCTGTACCAATTTCTATTCCCACTAACCATATATATAAGGGCACCCTGTTATATATACATACAGACTCCATTCTAACAGGAGTGAAGTAATATGCCACTGTCACTTTCATTTGCATTTTTCTTACAATCAATATAATTCTAGTTTTCTCATACTGTCATCCACCCGCATGTCTTCTTTGGGAAATGTCTATTTGTCCTTTTTTTTTTTCTATTGGGTTGAGTTCTGCATGTTGCCACCTTCTCAGAAGTACAGTTTGCAAACACAGTCCTCTTATTCTGTACCTTGTCTCTGCAACTCTATTGATTTGTTTTCTCTTTTGTGCAGAAGCTTTTCAGTTCTATGTAAACCATTTATTTTTGTTTTTTCTTGCCTGTGTTTTTGGCATCTTGTTCAAAATACTCTTGCCCAAACCAATGTCATAAAGCATTTCCTCTAGTTTCTTCTAGCAGTTTCATAGTCTCAGGTCTTACATTTTAGGTCCTTAATGGGGCTTCTGTTCTTAAATATCCTGCTCTTGTGGTAAAATTATTGTTGTCCTTCCTAGACTTCCTTTAGTTTTGGTTTTGGGGTCATGTTATGGCTGGTTTTATCTGATGTTGTAGAGTCTTTACAGCAGAGGGATTGAGGATTTTGATCCTGCAGAATTCTTTCTCAATTCACTTGAATTTTATTATTTACCCCAAGTTCCAAGAAAGAACCTGGCACGTGGTGTCACAGGAACACAATTTGTCTGTCCTCCTCTGTGGTGGGTGGGGGCACCACTGCCCTGGCCATTCTGGGCACGCTGCAGTACACGGGGTGGAAGTTTCCAGGTATGGATTCGGCTTAAGAGCATCAAACCAGAGGTTATCTGGGTCCCAACAGCTGAAGTAGGCAGGGCTGGGGAAAGCGTCCCAGGCATTTTCCTGCCTGGTGGAACCACCCGCCACCAGTCTCCAAGGAGTCCTTGCCATACAAGGAGCTTTTTCAAGGCATGGGTGATTGCTACCTTCTTGTCTCTCCCTCACCTTCTTTTTTCCCATTGTGATCACATTTCCATTATAAAGACCAAGAGAGCCTTCAACAATGACTGAGAATATTCTAGAAATTTTTCCATTTCACTGCATCTCTAAAGCAGGCTTGAAAAAGATCCCAAGTTAGGCTGGGGCCCAGAAGCTTATCCAAAAATGTTTCCAGGCCTACGCAGGAATGCCCACACCCAGAGCCAGGGACAGAAACGGAACCCAGTACCAATTAGAGAGCTCCCTGTGGCAGAAACAGTTTTCGGATCCTAAGTGTAACCCCTGATTCCATAGCCAATAGCAGTCTCCAACACTGAGAAGCCTGGTCCTGCAGCCAATCAGTCTCCATCCCAGAGAGCCTGGTCCTGCAGTCAATCATTTCAGTGCTCAGCAAGGAGAAAGAGTGTGCTAGTGAAGCTAAACTGAGCTGTTTTCTAGAATGTAAAGGCAGTCTGTCCTAAGCACCTGCACAAAAGAGTGGAGGGAGCTTGGGCTTTGCAGGCAGGTCGGGCAGAATCCCAGTGGCCCCACTTAGCAGTTAGTGATATGGGTATAGGTCAACCCGATAGGACTATGATGAGTACCAAATTACCCCAAGAAGATGCCCACTAAAGGTTAATTACCTTCTTCAAAAGCTTGGAAGCTGAAAGATGGATTTATATATAGCCTTCTGTCAAGAGTCCATTTGGGTGGCTATAGGGGAATATTCGAGACTGGATAATAAAGAACAGAAATCTACTCCCCACAGCTCTGCAGACTGGGGACCCCACCATGGAGGGGCTCCCATCTGGGGAGGACCTTCTAGCTGTAGGGCCCTCATCACCTAATCGCCTCTTAAAAGTCCCTCCTGACCCAGTTGCATTGGGTATTAAGTTTCCAGCACAAGAACTTTGGGTGCATGTTCAAACCCTAGCAATGGTGTTCTGCTTTGCTTCCAAACTCTTCAAAGCAATACCCTGGGCCCTCAACAAAAGCCCCCACTGAGCTGAATTCTAAATCCTCTTGGTCTTCCCCGACCATAACCCATGCAAATGGATGTGCACACCAAGGCCCAGCATCTAGAATGGAGCCCAGGAATGCAAATGATCTTAGCTCTCAGCAAAAAATATCTTTTTTTTTWATGTAATTCCCAGATCTTGTCACCTACAGAGTGTCACCCACAGAGCTTCTTGCTTTCTGCCCTTTGAATCACAATCCACAGTTCCGGCAAAGATATTAGGGATAATCCTATTGCACCTGCCCTTCCCCTGGACAACGCTGCCAAGGCCTGCCAAGCTGCATGATGGATGCCGCTCCTGYTGATATTAAATGCATAATTAATGAAACGTAAGGAGGAGACGAGGCGTGTTCCAGGCAGGGTACAAAGAACAAATCCATTCTCACATGGTGCAAGGGAAGATGGAGGAGAACACAGATAAGGCTGAAAAATGACCTTGTTCTTGGGTGCTTTTCGCTGAATATCTATGGAAGCCTCATTAGGAAAAGAGACATCTTTTACTTCGTAAGGTTGGCCACTTTCCCACTTGCAGAATCTGGTGAGTGTGACAGACCCAGGCAAAATGTTGTTATGATCAGAAAGATGCCTCCCTGCTGTCCTTTTTATTGAGGTCTGACACGAGTTCCCAGGCCAGTCATATTTGTGGCTGTCATCATCATGATCAAAGTGACAATAATTATTATGATGATGAGTTCATATTTATTAGATAGCCACTATGTTTCCAGCCCTGTTCTAAGTGTCTTAGATTAATTAATTCACCTAAGCCTCAGAAGCATCCAATAAGATAGCCACTCTCAATATCTTGATTTAATGTTGAAGAAACCCAGACACAAAGAGGTGAAGTAATTTGCCCACAGTCACACAACTCAGAAACTCAAATTTTTCCTGTATGGAAGCCCTATTCTCTGGGCATCAGATGCAGATTTCTTTTGGGTAAAAAAAAAAATWAAAAAAAAAGCTGGATAAAACTTAAAACAGTGGCATAAAGAACTGAGACTGAGCTTCCCTTGGAATTTTCTAAACCATGGAGGGGAATTGCAACCAGAAAAGCAGGGTCCCAGCTGGAGCTGCTCACACCCAGGGAGGAAGAGCAAACCAGCTTGCCTTGCTGTGCCCCACACCTGGGCTCTCCTGTGCCCCAGGCACGTTGTTCCAAGTTGTCCACCTCCAAAAGCAGTGGCCTCATTCCCTTCTCTGAACACATGCAAAACTAGAGCCCCCAGGCACCTGGCATTCGGTGGGGATTAGACATGTCCCCTGATTCCAAATGGTCAGAGTGTCACACTTTGTTCCCCTATCGAAGATGTTTATATTGGGAGACCCTCTCACCTGGTCTCTTCCAGGCTGCCCTACTGGGGGGTGAGGCCCTAGCATGTGGCCCCTGCCAGCTGTGTGGGCCACTGTGACAGCCACCACTGAGCTCTAGTCCCAGCTAGATGTGCTGTGTGACGGGGCCATGTCCTCCTCACCTCTGAGTCTTATGCCTGCATCCTGAGAGCAGAAATATCATCAGTGGTAGGTAGCTAGTTTGCAGGGTGGCTGCAAGGACTGAGAAAGAGGATGTCCTGATAGTGCATCTCCTGAGTTCCGGTGTATAGATGGCGTCAGAAAATGACCCCTGCTCTTACTATCATGGCCACCAGACTTGGTGGCTTCTGTTTCCTGAGTCCCTACTACAGGAGACCCTGGGTCAGAGATTCCCTGGAATGGCCTGTCTTTCACACATCCAGCCACAGGAAGCCATCTGGGCTTCCTGCCAGTTTTGAAGAGTCAGTTCTTCTCGGTCTAGACCTGGAGGTGCCTCGTTCTGTCTGTCCAGGGACCTGCTGTTAGCCCCCAGAATGTCTCAGAGGCCTCAAGTCTTGGCTGACTACGAAAAGAACCAGGAAGCCACAGAGATGTATTTGTGAGCTTTACTGTCACTCACATTTCAGTGTCTGTGGCTAGCTGCCTCTAGGATCGAGGGGACAGAAAAGGGGGAAAAATGTGATATATTTTTGAAAGGTGGCGCCTGCTCTGCTGACAATGAATGCAGGTCTCACCCTGAGCACCAGATTCATCATGTGGATGCATTTGCATGTGTGGCTCAGTTGGTGATTAGTCAGTCAAGCCTAAGAATTTGTCTTCCTACCTGCTGCACCTCCCTGTGGACATCCCCAGAGGCACTGGCCCAGTCTCTGTGCTTTGGGATGTGTGTGACAGAGCAATCATCTCCAAGGTGTCAGAGGTATCGGCCACTTCCAGTGCCTCACACTCACCTGGAACTCAAAGTTCGTGTGTTCCAGAAACTTCTGGTTCATGATTTCTGCAAACTTGTTGATAGCTCTCAGGAAGACCCTGGAAGAGGGGAGAAGGTTACTAGACCATCTGAGCATGCTCCCTCAGGCATCCCTCCACTTTGCACAAAACCAAAACTCCCTCACCCTCCCTCAGGGAGAGGCTCAAAGACCCAATGATGATTTGCACATGGCGACCAAGGCAGATGACACCTATCAGAGTCAAGACCTGGGGCCACGTTTGCCTTGTGGGAACTCAAGAATGGACTATTTGACTTCCTTTGGAAAATCTGCGGGGCCTTATGTCTCAGGTATTAGAACTTTATGGCAGAAAGTTCGTGCTATCCAGAAAAGATGCAACGAGAAACCAACCCCTCCCCAAGCAAACCAATAGCACTCCACCACCTCCCACCATCTAGAGAAATCTATCATCAGCAGCTCAGTGAACATAATTTCAAAGGTCTCCTCAGACGTATACATATGCATGATATTTTAAGGATATCATTTTGATAAATGGCGTTCCACAATAAATGCTGCTTCATAGCCTGTCTTTTTTTATTCAGCAACAAATCGTGCTCTCCTTTCATGCTGGTGAACGCAGATATATATCATCCTTTTTAATCACTGAAGAATGTTCTGCTGTGTGGATGTGTCACCGTTTATTTAATCAGTTTCTTATTGATGGACCTTTGTGTGATTCCTTGGCTTTTTTTTTTTTTTTTTTTTTTTTTTTTGCTACAAACCATGTTCCAACAATCACCCTTCTGTGTACATCTTGAACCTCCTATAAAGACCTCGGGTCTTCTCCTCCATGTCCTAATACTGGTCAAACCCAGCCCACATTTAACACTTTGCTACCGGTGGTCAATTTGCATTTGTCCAAAGATTCTTCATGGCCACTTCTTCTTCTTCTTCTACCCTGCAGAGCCCAACTGACTAGTCTCCCATCTTTTTGCCCCCTCCTCCTCAAGAGCACTTTGCCCAAAGGGACCATTGCTGACGTCCATGGAGCCCGTGTCCACAGGACGAGCCTAAACCCTTTTTCTGCCTCCACGATTGGGACCCTAGCTTCCTTGGGCTCAGTTCTTGCCATGGCCCCGTGCTTCAGGTCGCTTCCTGAGTACTTGGCTGTGTTCTTCCTGAACAATGCCCACTCCTTCTCTGCCTGCCTGTCATGGTCTAGATCCTTCCATCAGTCCCCTAAGACCTAAGTGAACGCCACCACTTCCTAGACTCTGAGGTGACTTCCTACACCCCTGGTCACCACACTTCACATTCTAGCTGTCTCTCAGAGGGTCTGTTGTGTCTTTGTCACCGGGATTTCCTTTGTTGTCATGGTGCAGGATGATCTACTTGTGTGTCTCCTCTATTAGACTGCATTTCCCTGGGGACCTGAGATGCCCTCAAGAACAAGTACTCCCTAATCACTTGCCTGTGACTCCCAGGTTCACATCTCCGTCCCTGGCCTCTCCCACTGGAATTCCAGCTCTCCACTCTATATTCCACTTGGTTAACTAATAGGCATCAGAGAGGCACATGCCTGGAACTAACGTCCTAATACCTGCCCTCCCAACCCCCAAACTGTGGTCTTCCCATCTAAGTGAAAGATAACGCCTTTCTTCCAGTTGCTCAGAGGGGAAAAGAAAATCCCAGCAACTTTGGTCATGCCTTGACTTTTGGATTTTTCTCAGATCCTACTGTCTTAGCATTGCTTTCAGAATATATCCAGAATTAGACGGGTACTGTGGCACATGCCTGTTATCACAGCAACACTGAGGCTGAGGTGAGAGGATCACAAGTTCAAGGCCAGCCTCAGCAACTTAGCAAGTCTGTCTCAAAATAAAAAATGAAAAGGGCTGGCGATGTAGCTTAGTGGTAAAGCAGCCCCAGTAGGAAAAAATAAAATAAAAAGAAGAGATCTAGAATTCAACTACACCATGTCCTCTCCCTGCCATCCAACTGAGCCAAGCCACTGTCCTTTCTCAGCTGGATTTTTGCAGTAGTCTCTCAACTGTTAGGGAACAGATAGATGAGGATGATGGGAACATAAGATTAATAGAATAATTCCATAAAAGGGGCCCACTGTGTTTAGCCCCATATGCTTTCTTTTCCAAAAAGCAATGTACCTACAGCCTTGCCTGGCCTAAGTGGACAGGATATGACACATTCCTCAGCAAAGTACGTGTCATCTGCAGGAGAAATGTGGGCCTGAGATATTGTTGATGGGAGAAACCCAGGAGACTTTGGTGACCAGATCCTGAAACTCAGGGAGATAAGGACAGTTCCTCCTAACCATAAAACCTATAAGAATGCATGGTTAAGGATCCAATTAGAACAGGTCAGCATGGGCCCAGGTGACCTCGAGTGGCCATTGCAGTGGGGAATTGAAAATTTGATGTCACCCTGCCATCAGTCAAAAGTCAAGTGGTGGACCTGGGTGGACTGTCTGGAAACTTCTCTGGGATCACCAATAAAACTGAGTGCAGGAGAGGCACATTGTCTCTCTCCTCTCTGAAAGGACTCGCTCTCTCCCTTGAGAGTGTCCCCCTTCGCTTTTCTTATTTCTTTAATAAACCCAGCCTGTTCCTCTTAGCCTCATGTCTGCAATTTTTTTCTGACTGGAGTTTGAGGGGCCTTTAGGCTGCCTCAGTTTCCCCAAAGGCTTTATAACACAACTGCAATGTGCTCAACTCGCATTTGTGTATCTGTTTGTAAAATTTTAGGGAGTGGAGAGCAGATATGCGGCAGCCAATGAAAACTGCTTGTTCAGTGAGTGACTCATTCAGGGAAGACACACCTACCTAGACTACCTGAGCCATCGTGGGAGGCCACTAAGGAAATGCTGAGGAGTGAATGGTTGCTGTGGGTGATCACTGAGACTCTTCTGCTTGAGAGTCTCTAGGAAACTCTATAGAACACATTTGCAGTCAGATGGTCCTCTCCCAGGGGACAAACATATTGGGCTATTATACCACTAACTGCTCCTTATTGGCTGAAAGTTTTTCGAGGACATTAAAATCCTGGTACTCTGATTTGTCCTGCAGATGGGCTGAGCACTCCATAGCCAGAAAGAGCCCAGAGAAAGAAAGAAGCAGGGCTTTTTCCAGATGCCTGGAAAGCAAAGGCACTGGTATATTTTGGGTAGGTGGAGAGGGTGGGCAGGTGCCTCTAGCACACTGCTTGTCCAGGTGGCTGGGCCAGGTGTTCGTGAAACATTTGGTTGTTGGTTGAACAACAACAACAACAACAACAAAAAGCACAGGGTGCCCTGGAGTTGGGAATCACAGAATGTGGAGCACACACACACACACACACACACACACACACAAATGGATGTTATTTCTGGTTTTGCCACTTTCTGTCTGGGTGGATTTGGGACATGTTAATATCACCTCTGAAGTCCCAGTTTGCCGGCTGTGAAATAGCAATGCCGTAATGTGGGGTGTAAGCAGCGAGAGCATGGAAGTGGTGAGCGCAGGGCCTGGTGCAGGGGCACCAGCATCATGCTGGCCCCGATGGCCTCAGAGCCTCTAGGGTGGCTCCACTCTGCCTCCAAAGGCAGGGCCAACAGCACAACACACACACTGGAGCAGCTAGCAAGATATCTGAGGCAGGTAAGACCACACAAGGGCAGAAGGAAGAATCCCACAAGTCCACCTCCCTGAAGGGCTGTCAAAAGGAAAATTTCTTTGGTTTTGCTGTTTTGTCCCTTGTTAACATGCCTTTGAAACAACATCTATATTTTCTCCTTAAAGATTAGTTATCTGATTCCCCAGATGGAAACACATTGAGTGGCTGTCATATTATGTATAAACATCTCGGAATCTGAAAGATGATACCAAAATGAGGGGTTTTACATGTTCTCAGCAGCCACAAAGCTATCAGTAAGAGTCATTTGTCAGCTGAAACCTGTCTGGCATTCTCCCAGACAGTCCAGTGACCAGGAACCCATCCACCTATGCTGAGGGCGGGCACTGTGTCCTTCCGTCCCTCAGATTCTTCTATAGACAGAGTATCACTTCACTTTGGTCACGTGGGCACTTGGAAAATACGGCTTTTTTCCCTCCTTGTTTTACTTTTTTTTTTTTTTTTTTTTAAATAATTGCTCATAAAGCCTAAGCACTAATGTGGTGAAGTGGGTTGGAATAAAAACACATCAACTCTGTTGTTCTCAACAATGAACTTGAATCGTTGAGAACCAAGTTCATTATCAAGTCTCAGCCCAGCACTTCCCTTCCATGATCCTTGGCAGGCTGTGTCTGAGAAATACCACCACAGCCATGCTGTGGATCAGGAACCAGGCTCTGTGCTCTGCAGGGTCCCTCCTCTCTTCCCCTTCACCTCCCCACCTCCATCCCACATGAGCTCTCTGAGCTCGACATGGCTGCCATCTTGGAGCTGTGAGTTTAGGTGACTTTCCCAGTGACCTGTGCAGTCCCAGCCTTCAGAAGGGAGGTTTTGAACCACCATGCATAAGGAAATCTCTGCATTTCTGCCCGACCCCAGCCATGAGCTAATGGTCTTCATGGTGACCGTGATGGAGGCATTAGCAGTCACCATGTGAACACCGTCCCTGTGCTAAGTGCTCTGCCGACACTGGTTCATTTAATCCTACCCACTCGGGCGGGTGCTGCTGTTCCTCCCACTGAACAGCAGCAGAGAGGACCTCGGAAACATCGGGCCATCTCGCCTGTTCACGCCGCAGAGCCGGCCCCGCCTTTCTCTAAGGCCTTGCAGGTCAGCAGGACCCGCTGGCTCTTCTTAAGTGTAGCCTGCCATGGACTTGGGGCACCAAGTGCCCCTCCCCTCGTCCTCCAGGCACCAGGTGTCTTTACGCTGCTCCTGTCACTCTGCCTTTCTGCTCACAGCTGACTGGACCCTGGGCTCACATTTGGGGTGACACAGTCTTCCTTGGGCTGCCAGCAGCCTGAGGGGGGTCTTTTGAGTAGTTCTTCCCAGTGAGGACCCCCAAGTCCACTAGGAGTAGATCGAATCCTTGCAAGTGGCACAAAGCAGGACCAGGGAGAAGGCCATGGGCTGGGCCCTTGTGGGAAGCCATGA